CGGAGCTCCAGAATCTGTGGCCACAACTTGGAACTGGAAAGTTTTCAATGTTTCAAAGTCAAAACTCTTCAGAGCAACAATGTCTCCAGTTTCAGAGTTTATGTTTAGGAATGACATCACTTTATGTTCACCGCCTGCTTCCCTGTGAATATGATATGAAATTGCTGCATTATCTCCTTCATCCTGGTCAGATGCTCGCACTGAAAACACAGACGCTCCTGGTTGGTTGTTTTCTGTCACATAGAACGTGTAGGGGTTCTCTGAAAACCTGGGACTATTATCATTGGTATCTGACACATGGATGATTATAGTTTTTTCAGACGTTAATGCTGGCTCACCTGCATCCTTTGCTATTATTGTAAGATCATATTTTGATTGTTGTTCTCTGTCCAGCAGAGACTTGGTGACCACAGCGAACATGTGATCTTGTATTGATGGGGTTAAAGTGAACGGACTTTCTTCAGCCACATAACTGATTATTTTACCATTAACCCCAGAGTCTGAGTCTGTAATGCTGATAAGTGCTACTGTTGTTCCTGGTCTGGAGTCCTCTGAAACTGCACCTGACAGGGAGGCTACCTCTATCTCAGGAGGATTGTCGTTTGTGTCCACTATTTGAATTATTACACTTGTGTACGTTTTGAAGGAAATGCTTCCTTTATCAGAGGCTTGTACAATTATGTCATAACTGTCTTCATCTTCGTAGTCAACATATCCTTTGATTATTATCTCCCCAGTAACAATGTCAATATCAAACTTGTCATGAATTTTACTTTTGACATCACTTCCAAATGAATAAACAACCTCTCCATTAGAGCCAGAATCCAACTCAGTTGCATTCACCTGAATAACTGTTGTTCCAACTGGAGAGTTTTCTTCTAGCAAAGCTGAATATTTATCGTTAGTGAATATTGGTATGTTATCATTTACATCGAGAACTTCTATGTATATTTCTGCTGTGCCTGTCTTCCGTGGAGTTCCTCCATCTATAGCCCTAAGCACTAATTTATGTCTGCTTTTGGACTCCCTGTCAAGCTGTTTCTGTAACTGTAAAACAGGAGTTTTCCCTTCTTTTCCTCTATCTTTAACTTCTAAACGGAAATGATCATTTTGACTGATTGTATACTGCTGGACAGAGTTTGTTCCTCCATCTGGATCAAAAGCTTTCTGTAACTGATATTGCGTTCCAGGCAAAGCAGACTCTGAAATTTCTATTGTCTTTGTTTTTTCATGAAATGTGGGGGAGTGGTCATT